ATAAAAAAGAAATTGCGCGTATGAGAGGAAAGAAAAATATACCGTTGGATTCAAAATACACAGCACGAAAAAGGAAAACAAAATTTTAGAGAATCTAGAATGTGGAAAAAAATTAATTATTTAATATATTATGAGAGTTTTGAATGTTGTAAAGCTTATAATAATAATAATAAATATACTTATCATAAAGTTTCCACTATTAATTTCAAATATTCATTCATTTTTTTCAGTTATTTGTTCATCTGATTCAATGCATTCATCATTTCCATCATTATCATCCTCCTGAGTTTTTTGTTTTTTATCACCGGATTGCTTTTTTTTTTGTTTTTTCTTTTGCCTTTTTGTCCGCCTTTTGGCAGTTTTTTCGTCTTCTTTTGCTTTAATTGCATTCATTTTTTCTTCGAATTCGCGTTTCTCTTCTTCCTAAATGAAATTTGATATTATTTTTCTAAAAATTTCAACTAATGATAGTTATATAAGGCCATACAAACTTAACAAATTGGTCCTCATAACATATAATTTTTAAAAGTGACCGGCACCCGGATTTTAATTTTATTTTCAAAAAAATATAAAATTTTTTATAGATTTTTTAGAAAAACTCACCCGGATAGTAAATATAATTAAAAATTTTTTTTAAAAGTTTTGTAAAATTTGACCCGGCCGATTATGAGACCAATTTATTAAGTTTGTATAGTCTAATACTGTATATAAATGGAACCTTTCTAGCTTCTTCTTCCATGATTTTTAATCTTGTGTATTCTCTTCGGCGATGAGCTCGGTAAACGTGGAATTCTCCGCTTCCTGCACCCGCACTAGAACCTATTTTTTAAAATAAAATTTGTCTCTCAATTCTTCAATAATCCTTTACTTTTTTATAAATGTTACCTTGAACATTTCTAACAATATCTTTTGGGGCTTTTAATTTTGGTTTTTCAATCTCCGGTATAGTTACTGGCTTGTCGGCTCTTTGTAATAACTTTTCTAATTGTTGCCTTTGAATGTCCACGGGCTTTAGATTATGTTTAGGTGTATGCTTATTTTTAGTAAGTTCACTACCGTTAAAATCGTTAGAATCGGTTAATTCACTAGGATTCTTGTCTTGATCTTTGGAAGCCATGTTTAAGAAAGTTGAGCACGTTTTTTTCCACATGATTATCTGTTTAATTAGAGTTTAAAACATAAACAAATCATAAATTGCATATTACCGAGTTTCATTTAGTCGAGTAACACGGTGTCACTGAATTTTCAAAAAACTTAGTCAGGTTTCTAATACATTTTGAACACAAGTATATTCTAAGGATCGCTTTCTCAAATTGGCATACACATCTGAATTAGAAAAATGGATTATGATATGCAGGGTACTCAAAACTATGGCCCAGGACCACAAGGCTCCGGTTTTGGTGGCAATGGTGGTGGTAATGGACAAGAGTACGTGGTTTTCGATAGGTCTACTGAGGGGTTTTCTAAAGGCACTTTGGATAGATCTACTGCAGCAAAATTGAAATTAGAACACTTTTATAAAGTTACTTTGGATCAGGCAAGAGAACGAAACGACCGGTATGTAATCACTACCAGCTAAAAACGGTTGTTCTTGCGGATTCGGAATTTATATCGAGATTATAGTATAAGTGTTCAATCCTTTTAGTGTCCGTCCTAGCGCTTACAGCATAGATCTTTGATGTAACAATTAACTATTTTATAGACGTAATGAACTTGAAAAAAAGCTTGAAAAAGAGGACTGTTCGGAAGTACTAAAGAACAGACAACTTCAGTCACTTGGACGTAAAGAATCGAATTTTTTAAGACTTAAAAGAACAAGGCTGGGGTTAGAAGATTTTGATACAGTCAAAGTGATCGGTAAAGGCGCGTTTGGTGAGGTGTGCTTTTCTTAATATTATTCATTAAATTAATAATAGACGAATTTGTATACTATTGATTCATTATATGTTTTTGCATTCATGGAAATTATTGAATTCAGGTTAGACTCGTTCAAAAAACTGATACTGGGAAAATATATGCTATGAAGACGTTAAGAAAAGCTGATATGTTTAAAAAAGATCAGGTGATTTATCCTGATTTATCCGAATTTTGATTTACTGGTCCAAAAATTCGGCAGAATAAAGTTATTGAGTTCTTATATAATGTAGTTGGCCCATGTCAGAGCCGAACGTGATGTTCTTGCCGAATCGGATTCTCCATGGGTGGTTCAATTATATTATTCTTTCCAAGATGCATCATATCTTTATCTTATTATGGAATTTCTACCCGGGGGCGACTTGATGACCATGTTAATTAAATACGACACTTTTTCGGAGGATGTAACAAGATTTTATATTGCTGAATGTGTCCTGGCCATTGAGGCAATCCATAAATTAAATTTCATTCATCGGTAATTTTTTTTTTTTTTTTGTTTTGTTTTATACGCTGAAATTCATAATGAAACTGTGATACATATAATTGCAAATTCATTTTAAATTCAGAGATATTAAGCCTGATAATATTTTGATTGATAAAGATGGTCACATTAAATTATCTGATTTTGGTCTTTCTACGGGTTTTCACCGAACACACGACTCTCAATACTATCAACGACTTTTGGATGGAAATCTAAATAGTGCTGGTCATAGACAATTAGGCAGTGAAGCTAATATTAACTTAACATTGTCAAGTAAAGACAGAATCGCTACATGGAAAAAAAATCGAAGAGCCTTGGTATTATTTATTCACTTTCGTATTTCTATTGATTTCTTTTTCTCTACATTAAAGTCTGAATAAATCGATTTTGTTAGGCTTATTCTACTGTAGGTACTCCTGACTATATCGCACCCGAAATTTTCCTACAGCAGGGCTATGGTCAAGAATGTGATTGGTGGTCACTCGGTGCTATTATGTTTGAATGCCTGGTTGGTTATCCTCCGTTCTGTAGTGAAAGCGCCCATGAAACTTACCGAAAAATTATTAACTGGCGAGATCAATTATATTTTCCTGATGATGTTCATTTGAGCTCTGAGGCTGAGGATTTAATTCGGCGGTACATCAGATTTTTTTTTTTACGTACATGAGAGAAATTATTATTTCCATATATTCACAAAATGACTCTATCGCACATAGTCTTATCTGTGCGCCTGAACAACGTCTAGGTCAACGTGGTGCCGATGAAATTAAATCACATCCATTTTTTGCTGGAGTAGATTGGGAGACTATTCGTAATATTGAGGCACCATTCGTTCCTAATCTGAAATCAATCACTGATACTAGCTACTTCCCTACAGAAGATCTGGAAAAGATTCCTGACACACCTCAGACAACTGGTACGCCATAATATCAATTATGATATCATGTTATACGTATTAATATGTTATAATAATTTGTTATTGCTTTGTACAGAACGCACCTCAAGTGCTACTGGTGAATTTAATCAAAAGGACTTAGCTTTCGTCGGTTATACATTTAAAAGATTTGACGATTTAACAAGAAAGAATGCTTTGTAAATAGGGTTGCGACCCAAACCTTCTTTGAATTATGACATTACTACATAGTTTGGGTTTGGAAATCGGGATTTCTACTTCATTTGGGATAATAACCAAAATCTAATTATATCCATTCTTAGTCAATAGAGTAAAATTTAAAAACAATAAAATTTGTTAAATCAATACTATAAATTATTAAAACTTTATTTTTATTTAGCGACTAAGCGGGATCTATTAATAAAGTGATATTGTTAAAGTAGGTCTAACGGTTATATCGAATATGTGCACAATAAATGAAAAACAATTATAAAATGAAAGTTTTTTAACATCCAAATAAAATTCGAATCATAAATAATAAACCTTTTAACCAAGCTTGCTTTCTTCGAAATTGAATAGAAATGCCTAATAGTTCTTAAAAAATCGAACCCCTTTAATAAATCGATTACTTATATAAGCTTACATTGTTAGTTGACTCCGTAATTGATCGATAAAACCATTAATGTTAAATACAAAAGGTTTCTTGATCTTATATGAATGCTGTTAAGGAAAATGTGATTTTGAGCCTTCAAGTTTTATTTATTATTTACTAGATCTAACCTCTGAAAAACCTGATCAGTGACATATATGATAACGATAGTAATTAAATTTAATTACGCATAAATAATACATGTCGCCGTCAGGCTGAATCTGGTAAATGATAAATTTGAAAGTCTTAATTTCCCCTTGGCAGCACTCACTTTCAATTTTATTAATATTCCATCTTATCGAATATGAGAGAGACTAAATCAATCCAGTACAAATCAAAGTTTTCACGGACAGAGCTCTTCTGATAAAGAAATCGAAAAAAATTGAAAATAATACTTAACTAAGCCCTTACCGGCGATTTTTTAGTGACCAAATAAACAATATATTCAAGCCACTAAACTAGTAAGGGCCAGAATACCTAAAGCAACAACTATTAGGCAAGCCTAATTCTATGAAAAGAGAACTCGGACCAAATTCATGCGCGTCTTAACCAAGAAAAAAATTGGGATTATTGGCCATTATACGTATCAAAAGTGTTTGACGTTACGGCAAATTAACAAAAGTTTGCGAAACCTAGTAAATTCTATTTGGGATTCTATCTATTTGTAAAGCGGATGACACCTGATCGGGTAAGATGTGTATAACGCGTGCACTTATTTGTGCGAGTGATACAAATCCAAAAAGGGAAATTAGCCAATCGGAGAACGTAAAATGTGATCATCCCGGATCAGCCCGACACGTGAACGAAGCGAAAAAAGCGAAAATACAAGAAACTGAGTGTTTAAACCTGTCTTTGGTCACTAATTAAAAGTGACGAAAATGAAATTTTACGTATAGAAAGTAAAACGTTATTTTTATAGCATCTAGCTTTAGCGTTCTAACCCTAAATTTTTATTTTCACGAACTTAGTTTATTTTTACGTTGAATTTTCTTTTTTGGGTTTGTATCACTTGTACAAATAAGTATTTCCCCCGCGCCAACAAAATTTTACAGTTACGTGATAATTTACATCAAATTATCCAATAATTAATCACAATTTTGTGCAACGTAACACGATCACGAAGATCCAAAACAAACATCAGT